AACTTTGCAGTAAAGTTAATGCATCCAATAATTTTTTGTTGTTTCACACTGATGTATTGTGGTTGTCAAGCGACAAAGGGTGTTTTTAATCTTCCTGAAAAATTAAAAACGTATTTAATCTAAACCACAATTTGACGCACTTTTTGGCAAAAAAAATATAATATATTATATAACTTTTAGGATATTTCTAAGTTTACCTGACACGCCGTTTGCACATGCTAGAAGTCCATTCAGCGTCAGAGTTAATGATATTCCCGAATAAGTAAACGAGTTTATTGAACTCATACTAGCGTTTCGTATCACAAATCATTTTGCGTCTGTTTCCTCCTTTTCCAACGATATATTTTTATGAAACAGACTTTTCAAGCTTATTGGCTGTCAAATCTAAAAGCAGAAGTAGACTTATTGCAAAAGATAATTTGCATTGTGCTATTGCAACGACCGCTCCAAGAATTTGTGTTTTTGCTAAAAAGAAGCCAACGCAAACTCATTGACGTTTTTTAGGTTTTTACAACTCAAACATTTTTGTTGTTGTTATTGCAATAGCAATCTAAAGTTGATTATGAACAATATTGATCTTAATCAACTTTTTGCTTTCTTTAGCCTTATTTTCTTTTGAAATTTTATTAACTAAAAACTCAACTATAAAGTTATTAGTTTCAATTGTGTGCGACTCTTAATTGTATAATGCACATTGCAAAATGCACACTTAAAATATTATAAAGTTTACATATTTGAGTTATACTTTAAGTGAGCATTATGCAATCTACATTTGAATGCATTATACATTTAAGGTGGTGCATCCCCATCATGTATACATTTGTGGTGGTACATCCCCAATAATTTTAAATTTTTTTAAGTAAAAAATAAATTTTAAAATGTTGATGTTTTTAATTTACTGAGCATGTTTATGATTTTCTTTTTTAACATAATAAATAAATTCAGGGTGTTAACTCTACTGGAAAAACTAAATGAACTAGAAAGAACTGTTTTTAAAAAACATGCTAAAGAAAATATATTTTTTGTGCACCTTTCATTCAATGGTGCGTCAAAAATACGTTTTTCATTTTTTCCATAATGTTTTTTAAAAACAGCTCTATACATTTTTTTCTACACGTTTTTCCAGCAGAGCGGACACCCTGAAACTAATATGTAAAAATGTGTGTCTTTTTACCATAATAGGTTTTTGAAATCTTTAGCAACGCTAATTTATGGCGTTGTTAAAGGCTTCAAATAATTGGCGTTGTTAAAGACTAATTATTCAACACCAACGGTTTTTAATTTTCTCATGCTTTTTTTTTTTGTAATATCACAAACTTTAGGCTTGTTTTTGAGTTTTTCTTAAAATCTCAAAAAGTTTTTCTTAAAACATTTTAAGGGTGTTGTTGTTATTGTTTGAATTAGGTAATCAGAGTTACAAATAAATATGGTTTCAAAGTTTGTTTAATATCTTCTTTATTTGCCTTTTTTGTTAAAAATTAAAAGTCTTTGAAAAACTACTTTTTGAAAATTAAAAACCTTTACTAAAAATAAATA